TCAGTCATCAGTGCTCAGTGGCCAGCGCTCAGTGGTCAGCACTCAGTCATCACTGCTCAGTGGTCAGCACTCAGCGGTCAGCGCTCAGTGCTCAGCCATCGGTACTCAGTGCTCAGTGGTCGGGGCTCAGCAGTCCTGGGGGGTGGGGCAGAGTTCAGACTCCATCTTTGCAGGTTTCTGCGTGATTTGGGGACAGTGATGAAGCCTCGGTGGTTCGCAGCTGTGGATGGGGACGCTAGTAGAGGCTGTGGCTGAGGGGCCCGAGGGACTCCTGCTGCACTGAGTGGTGGCCCTGTGGCTGCTCTGGGAATGGGGTCCCACTCATCCCGCGGGGTGTCCCCTGCGTCCCCGAGGCGCACCGCTGTGAAGTCACTTGCTCAGGGCCACGCGAGTGGCTCCCAGGTGTGGGGCTAGCAGGTGCTTTTGCTGCATGAGGCGGGAGTTTTCGCAGATGGAAGAGGCCACAGTGGTGCGCCCAGCCGTGACGTCCAGTTCCCCGTCCGCGCACTTTCCTCCTCTCTGCACACGTCCCACAGGGACCCTGCGGTGGGGGAGGGAGAGCCCACCACAGCCACTCCTGTCCTCAGCCTCTCCTGGGAGGTGGACAGGGGCCACACATTTCGGGGGGGAGGGAGTGAGCAAACCAGGAGTGATGCAGCACCCCAGAACGAGCAATGGGGAGATCTCCCCTGGGCTGAAGGGGTAAAAAGCAGGTGAGATGCCCTCAAGTTAGGGGCAAGTCCACGCAATGGAGGGCAGCCGTGGACACAAGTAACAGGTGCCTGGAGCCTCACCCAGGGAAGCCGTGAGGAGGGAATAGCTGACTCCCGCTGCCTCCCGCCCGCGGCCTCCCAGCAGGTTGCTCCCGACAGACCTGGCCAGAACCCAGGATGCCGGCATCTGGGGCTCAGCCTTTCTGGGGCCCCAAGCAGTGGAGATGGAGCAGGGAGGGCCAGCACCCTTGCTGGGGTCTGCTTGGCCACAGCATGCCCCGAGAACTCAGGGTCCCTGCTCCTCCGTGGCTGGAGAGAGCGCTGGGAGCCTCCAGACCCAGGGTGTGGTGCAGCCTGCCCTGCCCAGCAGCCCCCATTCTGCAGAGCTCACCAGACCTTAGCCAAACCCCAACTCTTATTTATCCAAATTTGTGCCAGGCTCGGTATCAGGCGCTGGTGGAGGGAACTGGACAGTAAACAGGGTAGTCACGAGATGCAGTAGGGACGAAGAGGGGAGTAAAACCAGTTAGGAAATCAGAGTGGCCAGGCTGTCAGCACCCCCTGAGGCAGGGGGGTCGGGCAGGCCTCTCCGAGGAGGTGACCCGTGTGCCAGACTTGGCCGAGCGGGACTCGCCATCACACAGTCTTGGAAGAGATGCTGGCGGGTTTCGGGAAGAGACGTGCAAAGGCCCTGGGGCAGGAAGGGACGGGACTTGTCCCAGCCACAGAAAGACACTAGTGTGGCTGGAGCTGGTGGAGAAGACCTGGGAGAGGTGGGCAGGGCCCGGTTGGCCATGCTGGTGACCCTGTGTGTTGCCCCTGAGCCCAGGGGAACCAGGGTCTGCCCGGTGAGTGACAGGGTGAGGCTGAGGTGAAGCGAGCTTGCGCTCAGACAGCCTGGGCTAAGGGCCTTCAGTTTCTGTGCTCTGCTCCCTTCCGCCCTAGCCAGGCCCCTGGTGAGAGGTGGGAGGGTGGGCTCCCTTGACAGAGGATCCTGCTGGCTGGCCTGGGAAGAATGGGGAGGGAGGGTAGCCCCCGGCCTGCGGTGCTTTGCGCTTCCCAGGAGAGATGACACAGCAGCACAGCCCCTCTGCGCCCTGACTTCAGGGAAGGGGCTGGGGTTCCCCGTGACCACAGGGGCACGCTTACGCCTTCAAGGTCACAGGGAAGGTGACTCGACCGCCTCCAGCGAGCTTGGTTTCCTCCCAGCAGATCTGCTCTCTCGCTCTCTTTCTTGCTCATTTTAAATAAATGAGACCAAAAGTCTATATCTGGACGGACTTGAAGGCTCATTTCCCCAGGAAACAGAAAATGACCGCAGAGAGCAAAGAGCAGCGGGAGGCTTAGCCCCAGGGCCTGAGCGCCCCCCCCCCACGCCCCTGCCTCGGCCGACGCATGCCCCTTGCCTCGGAGGCCCTCAGTTTCCTCTTCTGTCATTTGTTTTAATTCTGCAGCTAAAACCTACTTGAAGACGGGCACAGCTACGGGACCCCTGACTAGAGGCCTTCACGGGCCCCCCGCTGGGCAGAGGGGCCCTCGCGGGCTCGGGTCCCCATTTTATCCACGAGGACACTGAGCGTCCTCCCTGGCTTGTCGCCGAGGAAGCGGGGCTGCTGAGTGAGGGGCTGCTGGGCGGACCCCAGGGCGAGCGGCCCACCCGAGGCGGACGCCACTGCCCCCCACGTCACACCCCCGAGCCCCAGTTGACAGAGCTGGACTCATCCGCCCACCTCTGCACCCGCACTGTGCAGACAGGAGAGGCAGCCGACGCCCCCACACCGGGCCTCCTGTCCTGACTGTGGCCCCGACACTGGCTGGTCACTTGCACTGGGTCTCGTGCCCGGGGAGAAGTCTCTGCAGCCTGTCAGCTCAGCGGTTGCAAATACTTTCCTTCTGGCTTTAGCTGAGTCCAGTTCCCCGCTTCCATCACGAACCCCTTCACGGGGCCCGAGCCACGGTGGAGGTCATCACGCGTGTCCGGGCACTGGGCGGCCTGTTCACAGCGTCGACCGGATTCTTTCCTCCTCTAGATCTGCGAGTAGAACAGGGAGAGGAAAGAGAAACCAAAGCCTGAGAAGCGACGGCAGACGCCTGTGTCCTGAGGGGAGCCGGGATCAGCTCAGAGGGAGCATGGCGCCCCCCGGCCTCCTGCTGTGCCTGCTCTCCCCTCTGCTGTTCCTGCTGCACGGGGGCTCGGCCTTCCTTCCCCACCATCGCCTGAAAGGCCGGTTCCAGCGGGACCGGAGGAACATTCGCCCCAACATCATCCTGGTGCTGACGGACGACCAGGACGTGGAGCTCGGTAAGCACCTGGCGGGGGGTGGGGTGACGGGGCTGGGGACAGCCACAGCCCCGCGGCCTCGGTCCCAATGCAGAGGGGACCTGAACGGTCGCTTCTGGCGACAGGACCCCCTGCTGCTCCTAGTGCAGAGCTGTGTCTGGGCTGCCCCTGTGTCTCAAGAAGAAGAGATTCCCAAACCAACGCGCTCTTCTCATCCGGTGTCTCTTGAACACCTGCCGAGTGCCAGGCCGTACGTTAGGGCCCAGGGCTTCCATAAGGAGTAAGACAGGCGCCTTCCCGCTTCTACGGAGTGAGGGAGACAGGCAGCGTTTGCCAGGGCTCCTGTGAGGTCAGTTCCAGGAGGGCCAGGGCTCTGGGGCAATGGCAGGACCCCTGCTGGGGGTGGAGCTTCTTTGGGGGATCAGACGGTGATTTTTGGGAGGATGCTGAACAAAAGGAGTGAGTGTGTGTGTGTGCGCGTGTGTGTGGTGTGTGTAGACTTACTGTCCAGTAGGGAACCACAAGCCACGGATGGCTGCCGAGCCCTGGAAGGTGGCTCGTCTGAGTTGAATGTGTTCTGAGTGTGAAATGCCTGACAGATTCCAAAAGCAATAAGCAAAATGGAAAGAAAGACTGTTAATGATTTGGTAGAGTGGACTCCTGCCTCTGCAATCTCAGCAGCTGCTGGTGGGCTCAGCCCCCCTGGGTGACATCCAGAGACAGGGCGCTGGCCCTCCGGGCAGTGGCCCGAGCAGCTCTCAAGGGCGAAGCTGCAGAGGGTGAGTTTGGCCACCTCGGGCCCGAGCGGCGTCCCCAGTGGCGCTCAGCTCCAGCTAGAGCAGGTGCAGGCAGGCTTAGTTCAGGGTGACCAGGGACAAGGGGCCACAGCTACCGTGCCCAGGACCTTCTGCCTCATGGCCTTGGCACCTTCCCTGGGTTCCCCTTGACCTGGTAAAGATTAAGCGCCCCCCAACTACATCCTGGGTGCCCTGTAAAAGGCCTCCTAGACTCCTCCCCGCCTCCTGGGTGCCGTGACCGGCTCTTCCTGTACTCTGGGGCCTTCCCTTGCATGAGGCTCTTCTCACCATATTTTCACTCACTCTAGGAGAGCCCACAGATGCAGCGCCCAAGAGCAAGGCCTCCAGGGACCCTCCCAGCTGCACCCCTGAGCCAGGTCGCTCTCAGTGTCAGTTCTGTTCCTCCTTGTCTCGTGTCTTCGCCCCCCTCAATTCACTGAGCTTCCGGGTTCTCTCTCTCCCCTTTAGGCCAGCGCTGCCCCATAGAAATAGGATGTGAGCATTCACGAATGCAGGTGGCCACTCGTCATTTTAGATTTTCTAGTAGCAGTATTTTTTAAAGTAAAAAGAAACCGGTGAAATTAATTTTAAAAGGCTCGAACTCATTCCACCCAAATTCTTTCCATCTCAACATGTAGTCAATATAAAAAAATCACTAACTCAGTCTTTCTTTTTCATTTTGCTTACATTTGTAGAATCGGGCATGTATGTTATACTCAGAACACAACTAAGAAGAGCCACTTTCCAGGGTGGGGCTGTGGCCTGCTTGCTAGACAGCACTGGGCTTTTGATTGCTGATTTCTCTGCTCTGTGCACTCTGGAGATCTGGGGTTAAGCCTTCAGGTTGGGGGCAGAGGATACACATAGGTAGAATCATGGAAACAGATGTGGCCAGAACCCAGGGAAGGGACATAGAAGGGCCTGGAAGGACAGGATGGAGTCAGATGTTGGAACCTCTCGTGGGCTGCGGGGAAGTGCCCGCAGCTCATCAGATGAGTGGTGGGCTGTTGGCCACTGCAAAAGGACAGCTGGAGACCATTGGGGCCAGCGTACTTAAAGGTTTATTGGGTCTTATGGCTTTCGCAGCCGGCATAAGAGGCTGGTGAAGCTATACCTGTACACCTATCCTGTCTGGATCCTGTCATAAAAATATGAATCAGCCTCTTAACTGCCAGGAAAAATTGATTTCTATAAATCCATGTCATTCCTAGTAATGATTTGTATTACTGATCACAAGTATAGATTTTTTTCTCAGGGAGCTTATCAGCACAAAAAGAATTTGCAGCTAGGAAGCAATCAGAGCTCAGAGCATTTATTGACAGTTTGACACATGTGATACCATCTCCTGGGCAGTATTTAGCAGGGGCTGTTTGATAATCACGGAGCGAGCGTCTGCAGACTGGCCGGGGGCCGTGGGTCTTGTTTCCAGCAGAATTTTGCAGCGGCGCTCACAGACAGCACCTGGCCTCAGACCCCTCCACCTTGCCCTGTGCCTTCAAGCCATTTGGGTGGTCGTTACACCTGGGAATTCCTAGTCCCCCAGGCAGGCAGCCATGTGTTCAGCAGATATTTATTAAATATCTACTTGGAGCTGGGATCAGGAGACCCGAGAGAGGACAGGTCCAGGTGGAAAGCACAGGACAGCAGAGGTGCCCAGCTGGAACGGGGGCCAGGATAGAGAGAATACAAGCGGGAGAGGAGAGTGATGAGGCCAGGGTGGCCTGGAGCCAGTGCTGCACACCGTGGTAGGTTGCAGTGGGCTCTCTGGACTGAGGTGTCGAGGTCAGAGAGACTCAGGGCCCCTCAGCAGGCCAGGGATGTGATTGGGCACATGGTGTTGGACCCTTGGGCCAGCCAGGAGCAGCAGAATGGTGAGACATTGGTTGTTGGTTCTGGGGGTTGAAGAATAGAGCCTCACGGGCAACTTTCAGATTGGGGCCCAAGCCAGGTAAGTGAGTAAATGCCACTCCTAGGCTTGTGATCCAGCTAAGCTTTGAGTCGGAACACCTGTAAGTTTGTACCTGTGGTCTTGAACAAAACCAACAGACTGTGCAAATGTCAGGAACTCTGAGCATGATGAGGACTCCGGAGAAAGGAGACAGAGGAAACTGTAGCTCACTGGAAACGCACAGATTTGGTCTCTGATTTTCTGGGCCGAGAGATGGAGACCCGCAGAAGTGAAGTGACTTGTCCAGGCCCCACCACTAGAACACAGCTGAACAAATGGGAACCCCACTCTGCTCTCACCCTGCTCTACCTCACCTCCCTTGGAATGGTTCTCAAGTTGTTTCTAGTTCAGTGCATGCATTAGTTAGTGTCCACTGTTATGGTGCCGTGGCCGGAAGGGGCTTTGCACACGCCTCTTGGCCCACATGAGTGAGTGTTTCTGAAAGAGAAATTCCAAGAAGCGGCTGTGGTGGGCCGGGGGCCCTTGCGTTCCGTGGCATCTGTCCGCTGGGCCGCAGCTCTGGGGTGCAGATCTGTGTGAGCATCACGCCTCCCGCCGAGCCAGCCCTCCAGCGAAGGACCGGCTTTAAAGGAGCCTGGGCTTCTTTCCGGAGGTGAGGGTGGGAAGGTGGTGGGGGCCGGGGGAGGGCCGATGGGCTTTTTATAAACCTCTAGACAGACCCAGATCAATAATGCATGTTCCCAAAAAGGCCAGCACATTATCTCACAGTCTGCTACAACTGGCACACAGAGGGTGGTCCTAAAAAATTTATCATCTGCTATTTTCTGCTCATCCATGCGGCAGTTCTGATGGTTCTCGGGGCTGGAGACTTCTCCACTAAGATCATTCCAGGCTTTCTTCCAGTCTCGGGGTGGAGAACAGCCGTCCATCCTAATTAAGGTCCGGTTGAGAGACTGTGTGCGGGGCACAGCCCAGAACCTGGGCTGGTCCTGTTCCCTCCTTGCAGGGGGCGGGGACCGTCCTCCTCGCCTCTCCCTGTGCGTGTTCCACACACCTCCCTGCGTTGTTGCTGCACATGTGGGGTGCCCAGGGCTGGCTCCAGGGCACGTTGGTCAGTCAATGTCCTCAGTACATTTTCAGAGGAATCGGAAAATCCCTGGGGAGCAACACGGGCTGAGGTCGTCTCGCTGGGCTGGAGAGGGGACCCACGCCTTGTTGGCTGGGCAGACCCTGCAGCCCTCTGCCCGCTGACTCGTTGAATCCAGGCAAACCTGGGCTGAGCCCTCAGGGCTCGGGCAGGCTCTGAGACCCCCAAGACGGGTCAGTCCCTGCTATAGCAAGAGAACATTGACAACACACCAGGTCCATCTGCCCCATCACTTGAGAGTTTCTTTGACCAGACTTAACTTTTGGACTCTTGAACATTGCTCTCACGGGAGGCTTTAAGTTTTGACTCTCAATGAGAAAGCACTGTTGGTGTCTTGGGTCAAAGGTCACTGTAAAATCAAGTACACTGTCAACACTCGTGCTTTTTAATTTCAGCAAGATGCTGCCTCCCACAAGGCCAAGGCCGGGGTGTCTTTGTATACAGGTGAGGGGCCGTTTTGAGAGGGCCACGGTGACCCCCAGCCCTCCTGACAACATCCTCCCAGCAGGAGAGAAGGACAGGGGAGGGCACTCTCAGGTGTGAATCGCAGCGTTTAAAGTTGGGGCCACACTTGGATGGGAACTGGAAGGCAGTGACTCTGGTGTCTGGGGGTTCAGGAGAGAGACCCCAGATCCCAGAATGGCAGGCATGGACTCCTTACGACTCATTTTCCTGAGTGCCCACACCACATACACACCAGCATAGTGGGGGACACTGAGCAGAGGAGGGATATCACGTGGCCTGTGTGTCGATAGGACCCCTCTGGCGCGTGCATGGAGAACGCAGTGGACGGCTGTAACCCGAGCAGGGCAGCCATGGAGATGGGCTGTGATGGCCCAGGCAGGAGCTGTGCCCAGCGAGGCTCCACAGCAGGGGTCCGGGCCTGAGAGAAGGATGCCTTGGCCCAGAGTGGGAGCTGATGAGATGTGCTTAGAGATCTGGTCTGGAGTGACAGACAGACATCCGGGCAGTGCCGAGGTTTTGGCATGAGCAACTCAAGGAGAGATTTTCTGTTTACAGAGATGGGGAGGCCTGTGGGCAGGAGCTCAGTCTGGACCTGGTAGGTTGCAGATGCCTGTGGAAAGCCAAGAGGAGCTGTCCATGGACACCGCTCCCAGAGCCCGGTGCAGGGGAGGGCCAAAGCGCAGAAGTGCTGGGAGCGCGGGGG